CGCCGGTGGTGCACCAGTACAGCCCACATGTACTCAGGGTGCTGCTGGGAGCACAGAAGGCGATCCCCATCAGAACAACTGGCAAGAACAGCGGCGAAGGAGCAATAAATCAGCGGCCCACAGCGATCCCATTGCCCGGGCAACAAAATCCAAAGTTGTGTCTGTCTACAGAAAAATGGCCACAGAAAACCCCAACCCCAACACACTCACTGGCACACATCTTCCCAAGCGATGTGCCTTCTTTGTCGGGAATGTTAGCCCTGGAAGTAAGGCACAGTCCATTGTCACCTGGTGCGCTGATAGGGGCGTTGATGTATATGCATGCACAATTGCCGAAACCCAATACTTTGGTACCTGCTATGCACGCGTTTCTGTCGCGGAAGAGTTTGAGCAAACGCTGCTTGACAAGGAATTCTGGCCCGACACCATTGCGCACACCGTCCGCAAATGGCGCTATGCCGACTCCGCTAGCAAGTGATGGGTCCTCGGTCACCTAGCCAACAGCTAAATCCTCTTGCCCAACCCTTTGTGCCCCACGCAAGTTCATCACACCCTTCCCCTCATTGCGTTACATATTCTTCTATATCTAGTGGTCATATTCCACTTGCACCACCATTCCTTCCTGATTCTGGGCGACAAACTACTAAAACTCCTAATCAACAGCAGCTCCACGACGCCCCCTACCACAAACTAATGTCGGTCTTCACCCCGTTGAGCGCTCATGCTTTCCCGTTTCTCCCGGACCACGCACATTCTATTAACATTGTAACTATCAACTGTCGCTCTGTAACAAACAAACTTCCGGAATTGTACGCAATATGTCAGGCCAACAAGCCCACCATAATATGTTTAACAGAAACCTGGCTAAGCCCGTCACTTTCATTCAGTGTTCCAGGCTACACATGCTTCCGTAAAGACAGATCTACACATAAGAACCTGAGATCAAACCTACGTGGATATGGTGGCGTGGCCATTCTCATACGTGATGGGACATTTCCACATTGCACCCGTCGCCATGACCTTGATTCTCCCCAAAGCGAGGCCTTATGGCTTGAGCTTGGTGCACCGGCAGGTCTCCGGGCCAATCCGCTACTCATTTGCTGTCATTACCGCCCCCCTTCACAATCCCTTCTTGATATCACCTCCTTTTGCGACATACTTACCGACACGCTGTGTTCCTTGGACCTCTCTTTATTTGATGTTTTTCTTACCGGTGACTACAATGCCCACAATTCTGACTGGTGGAGTGGTGACACCACATCGCGTGCTGGTACGGAGCTATCACACGTGTTCTCTAGCTTTGGCCTCCAGCAGCTTGTCAATTTCCCCACCCGTGTCGCTCGGAATGGAAGACTGTCCTGTCTGGACTTGCTTGCTACGAACCGCCCCCTCTCTGTACGCTCTGTTGACGATGCTGCCCCGCTTGCTGCATCGGATCATTTGCAAGTCATTACAACGCTAGCCTACAACATTGCCACTGCTAACACCTCTTACAACTGCTCTCAGACTCCTACCCCTCCGCGACATGCCTTCCGCAAGGTTACACCCTCCACTTGGTCAATCATCAACTCTGCACTTTTTGCCTGTGACTGGCATCTTTTATTCACCTCCACTACTGTTGATGAAGCTGTGGAGAAGTTCACCACAGCTCTTGATGACGTGCTCTCCTTCTATGTGCCACAATACGGAGCAAGACCCGCTACACCCAAACATGGCAGCCACCACCCTCGTCAGTCCAGCCGTAACCCCAAGATCCCTTGGCTCGACAAAGATCTCCAAGGTGCAATTAAACTCAAATACGACTACTATAGCTTAAGTAAGAAGTACTCCACCTATGCTAATATTTCTTTATACAAAAAACAGCGCAATCTGGTGAAGTCATTGTCACGTTCTAAGTATCGAGCATATTTACGTTCGCTCACTACCACCCTATCTCACCCCTCTTCCAGGCCTAACCTGTATACCTTTGTTCGCACTCAAAGGCCAACTAGTACACGTCAAGACATACCACCGTTATTAGCTTCCAATGGTTCGATGGTGACTGACCCCAAGTCTATAGCTAATACTCTCAATACGCAATTCACATCAGCTGGTATTCCAGACGACCATTCCTCTCCAATACCACCTCTGCAACGTTCTGCGACTGTGTCTTCTGATCTGCGCTCTATACACACCACCACATCATCTGTTTGCAGCTACCTAAAAAGACTAAAAAGCAACAAAAGCCCTGGTCCTGATGCCCTACCAAATGAAGTTCTCAAAGTTCTGGCTCCATCTCTGGCGTACCCACTGTGCCTTATATTCAACCTTTCCTACTCCTCCGGCGTATTTCCTGATCGTTGGAAGATCGCTAAGGTCACGCCCATCTACAAGTGTAAAGGCTCCCGATCACAAGCCTCAAACTATCGTCCAATATCTCTTCTCTGCTCCCTTTCAAAAGTATGTGAAAAGGTATTTTACGACCAGTTGTATTGCCACATTTCACCATGCCTTAGCCCTTCCCAATCTGGCTTTCGGCGCAACGACTCAACCTCTGACCAACTAGCTCGTCTAGTACAAGACATTGCCACCCTTCGTGATGCTCGACACCATATTGCTCTCTGTTTCTTTGACTTGGCAAAGGCCTTTGATACTGTATGGCATCGTGGCCTCCTTGCCAAGCTACATATTGTCTTTGGTGTGTCTGGCCCTGCTCTGTCCTGGCTGGAGTCCTATCTGAGTAGCCGATCACAGTTTGTTTCTGCCCTCTCCATCAACTCTGATCCTCTACCAGTGTCTTCTGGAGTTCCCCAAGGCTCCATACTTGGACCTCTTTTGTTCGTAGCATACGTAAATGATTTACCCTCTATAGACCCAGGTGTCTCGTTATTTGCTGATGATACAACCCTACTGTCAGCATCCTCGTCCTCAGCGGCTCTTGTACCTCGAGTGTCGGCTCAGATATGCAGTGTCCTACGCTGGATGCAAACATGGCGACTTAGACCCAATCTGACTAAAACCGAAATAATGTTCCTTCCCCCAATCTCATCCATGTCACTTTTACACCATCCTGATTTCCCAGAACCCATAAAGGTTGTTTCCAACCATAAACACCTGGGAATAATGCTTGATGATCGTCTCTCTTGGTCTTTCCATATTGATGCTCTTTGCAGCCGTTCAAGCTCTGCCCTAGGTGTTATACGTCCCCATTGTTTCCATCTTCCTTTCAAATGTAAAATTTTGTTTTACAAACTGTACATCCTGCCTCTTTTCATGTACGCTGCTGTTAGCTGGTGTGGCTTGTCCTCGGTTCTCGCTGAGCATCTCGAAATCCACCATAGAAAACTTCTTCGTATCCTGTTTAGTCTACCCCCTCTCTACCCTTCTGCTTCCCTGTATATCCTTGCAAATGCTTGCCCACTGTCGACCCACCGTCAAAAATTAATTTGCACTTTTGCTCACAAATTTAAACTAGCTCTACATCCTCCTCATCTTAACGTGTATAACTGGTTCCGAATCACAGATGGCTCCCAGACAAGATGCTCTGTTGCCCTCCCCTTGGCTAAAACGTCCTCCCTTGTACGCTCTCCACTCTTTGTTGCTTACTCTGCTTGGCTTGCGCTGCCCGCTACTACGCGCAATGCCAGTACCCTGGACGCATTTAAATCTGCTCACTAGATTCACCATCACCTGTCCCTCCCATGCTTCTCCGTCTTGACCATTACTTTTCTTCTTTTATTCACCATGGTTGGTTAACACCCACATCTCCCGTACTGGCTGATTTTCTTCTCATGCCATGAGGTGTTGTCTATAATAATAATAATAATAAGGCGCACTCGATCATAAGGCGCACTCGATCATAAGGCCCACTCGATTATAAGGCGCACTCGATTATAAGGCGCACTCGATTATAAGGCGCACTCGATCATAAGGCACACTCGATTATAAGGCACTCTCGATTATAAGGCACTCTCAATTATAAGGCGCACTCGATTATAAAGTGCACTCGATTATAAGGCACACTCGATTATCAGGCACACTCGATCATAAGGCGCACTCGATTATAAGGCGCACTCGATTATAAGGCACACTCGATCATAAGGCGCACTCGATCATAAGGCGCACTCGATCATAAGGCACACTCGATTATAAGTCGCACTCCCACTTTCAGGTTTGAGCCATATTTGCTTTAAACACTGACATCAGTAGGGAGTCACACTCGATTGTAAGTCGCACCCCTCAGTCTCAGTATTCACCCCCTCAGTCTCAGTATTCGCCCCCTCAGTCTCAGTATTCGCCCCTGAAGCTCAGTGTAAAAAGGTGCGACTTATATTCCGGGAAATACGGTGATATGGCTTGCGCTGTCATTACACGTGCACACGCATCAAGTATTGAAACTGAGCAACGCACCTCAGCAAACGTAGTTTCGCCATACTTTTGGAAAAGATGACCTTCAGTTCAACCCAGTGTTTTTGTTGGCGTCGAAGCTAGATGATGTGGCTTCGTTGCAAATCGTCTTGCCGTACGAGTTACAAATAATTTCTGTTTTCGTTATCGATTTACGGAAAAGCTAAGTGCTTCAGAGCTCTCTGAAGAGAACCTGTGTGTGTGTGTGTAGAAAAAAAGAAAAAATGGAAAAATGAAAAATAGGGATTCACTGGCCAGAAAAAGTCACTTCAAACAGCTGTGTGGTGGATACCAGGCTAGAAATAGTGGCGGTCAATTCATCAGCCTTGCAAGCTGTTGAATGGTGTAATCCCAGCACAAGTTGCTATGTCTAACATAGCTGTTCGCTATCATCGCTTCCGCGATGGGCATGTCTGAGGTCTGAGGTGTGTGTGTGTGTGTGTGTGTGTGTGTGTGTGCATGTGTGTGTGTGTGTGTGAATGTGTGTGCATGTGTGTGTGTGTGTGTGTGTGTGTGTGTGTGTGTTTGTGTGTGCATTTGTGCATTTGTGCTTGTGCGCTCACATGCTGCATGCGTGTACGTGCACGTGTGTTTTACCAAACCCACTCACACAGTGATGGAATATCTGTGCACTGAGGCAACGCTCGGCATCTACGCAAACACGGCCACGTACGACGAGGCCCGCGAACAGTGCAGTCGCCTGGGAGGCAGACTGCCCGCCGGGCCACATGACGAACAGTGTCTCGCGAACGCCAGGAAACATGCTTCCGCCAGCTCCCCGGCCAAGCAAGCCAAACCCTGGCTAGTGTACGACCAGGAAGGCGTGCGACCGAGCGGCAACTCCTATGTTGTACACGACCTGACGAAAAGCGGCATGTCCGACGCAGTCGGCACCGTGGGATGCATGTTCAACTTTAGTAAGTCATCCGGAGTAGTCTTGCGTGTGTTTTCATTCTTTTAATTTTTTTTACGAAGAAAAGGGGGTTTGAACTCGGATACTAGACACCCTTAGCAAAAAACGTTATGTTGTAATGGTATTATCGTAAGGGGGAAAATACCGTGATTTGGGTTCGACCTTTAGCAAGATGCATGCTATTTTTAGTACGCTGTTGCCACGAGAATAGCTTTTACTTCGCGCGGTACAACCATTTTTGTCACCATATACGCGATACAAGGTGAAATGCATACGGACTATGCAATATTTGGCCAAAACACGTACCGTTGGTCACAACGATAAATCAGCGCCCATAACGTTTATACGCTGCAGCTTCAACGCTATTTGGGCGATCAAGGTACGAGTACCGTAAAAATAGCGTTACCGTTGTTTGCTAAGGGTGTCTAATGAGCCAGTTTACCTGTAGAATAGAAGAAGAAATCACATGGGAATGAGTTATGCAGCAACTATCCGCGACTGTAACAAGATAATAAGCAGTCAGAACGTGCAATAACGGTGCACTGACTAGTTGCTTCACAACTCGTTCCCATGTGATCTCTAAAAGCGGGTTTGTAAACACTTTTTAGAATGTGTTACTGGCAACCACTCTATCCAGTTGCTATTCACAACCTGCGCATGCGCTGCATTACGATTTCTTTTATTGTGATGTTGAACAATTATTGACGTTTCGGGCCAGTCAAACATCGTCACGACAAGTCACAAGGGCGAACCTGGCCTTTTTTATTTTATAGCCAAAGCAATAATGCAGTTGCGTGTTGTCCACGACTTTCTTTGTAATTTTTTTTAAATATTTTAAATACTGAATTGCACAGTCCAGCAGAAAATGTAATGGGAAGACAGAACCAAGGGGAAGACATGACAAGACATGACAATGAAGACATGACGGGGAAGACATGACAATGAAGACATGACGGGGAAGACATGACAATGACATGACGGGGAAGACATGACGGGGAGCTGAAACAGAGTGCTGATGAATTGGGGCCTGCCTCCCACGACCGTGGGTCTCGGGTTCAAGCGGCAGGACCAAGAACCTTGCTTGTGGTTCGTTCAATCTTTGACCACTCGGTGTTGGTGGGTCTGATCTACTCACCTCCCACCGCTTTGTAATTTGTAAATTTTTTATTGTTCAAGGATTCCCAAAGGCTTTTGCCTATCGAGGAGGTTTCCAAACTTTCCGTAATATCAAATCTGTAAAAGAAGTGATGAGCAATAGGTGAGCAAAGAAAGAGAAAACGACATTGTCTAGGGCAGAGCTTTGCGCTTGAGCATATGATCGTGAGCATCCAGAACTGGGACAGTACTTAATGATAGCCTGCATACCGTCCTACCCAAGAAATCGAGCTGCAACCGTGCTTTTGGTTGAGAAATTTTTTGAAACAATTGTTGAGATGAGGTCTTTGTCAGGCAAAGTAATGGCGCAAAATGCAAGGCTATGTCCAGTGCATTGCGTATGCGCAATTTTATCGATTGTCAAAGGAGTTGCATCTGCGCTTTTGATCCTATGAGGGTGGTGACATTCCTACGGATGCGCATAGCCCGGTCTAACTCAGTATAACACGGACCGTGAATTTTTTCCCATTGCACCCGAAGCTGGCGGAAAGCAACCTGCTACCGTATGTCAGCGCCTTTAAAGTTTAAAGCCAGGGTCTTGTTTTCGAAACACCGCTGCTTTCCTAGCTCTTTTAGATGCAAAGTGACTCAGCCACTACTCAGCCACTACTCAGCCACTACTCAGCCACTACTCAGTCACTACTCAGCCACTGCACCATGCCATAAAAGTCAACGTCCACACAGGCATTTCAATGTAAATCCAGTTGTTCACCCTTTTTTCCCTTCAGTGTCATGCCCACCCACACACGGCAGCACCACCAGTGGCTGTGGCATCACTGTTGTCAACCAGGAGCATAGCTGCCCTCCCCCCCCCCCCCCTTGTAGGAGGGTACAGAGCCACATACCCCCCCCCCCCCTTGTAGGAGGGTACAGGGCCACACACATCTATGTGTAGGATGACGGCTGGCGCATGTCATTCATGGTCAGTATGTGCATACTGAATCTGGGTCGAAATTGGGGGGGGGGGGGTGCATGTGCCCCCCCCCCCCCCCGCCGCACCTTCCCCTGTGCCCGCACCCCATGCGGGCTATGTACCTGGTTGCTTATCTCTCTTTTGTGTTGTGGTTTTTGCATTGACTACGATCCTTCTCCCTGTTAGGAGAGTTCTTCTCTGATGACGGCGGTTTCTTGCCAAGCTCGCGGTGTTTAATCTTACATTTCAAATGAGTATTATATTTACAGTAAAACCTGTAGGCGACCACTTGGATAAGGCGATCACCTGTCCTAGAAGACCACTGAAACCAGGACCAAGGGATGCTATTTCCAGTCAAATGACCCTGTATAAGGAGACCACCTGGTCACAGAGACCACGTTTTGAAGGTCCCTTGAGCGGTCGTCTTAGACAGGTTCCACTGTATGTCCGAATTTGGGTTGTCTTTTTGCTTTGGTTCTGACTTGCTGGTTTCACGCTATTGGCATTGTGAAAACACCCACACTATTGGCGTTGTGAATACACCCACACTATTGGCGTTGTGAATACACCCACGCTATTGGCATTGTGAATACACCCATGCTATTGGCATTGTGAATGCACCCGTTCTCAGCAACACATCACTCATGACCATGGCACCAATGTTTCTCATTTTATTTATTTTTATACGAAAGTCCACTATATTCCCGAATATGTGCGAGAGAAGTGGTGGCAGGGCCAGGCTGCTCTGCCGACCTTAAAGGTCTCGGCGTCTACGCAGACAAAGCGCGCCGTAATGCAGTAAAACCATGGGGAGGGGGGGGGGGGAGGAGGGGAAATAAAAATGTTGCTGATCTCTCTGTGAGTGCGTTGTTTGTCTTCGCATTGCCCATCTTTCTTCTCCTCCTTATTAGGAGAGTTCTTCTGTGCTACTGACCATTCGGCGCGGCATTACCCTCACAACACTCGTGCTACAACTTTGGTCTTCATTCCGAGACCGGCGGCGGACCTGTACGATCGGGTAGACCTGTACCACTTCGTCGCGCTGCCGCCCAACAAGTGTGAACGTTACGGCGGTCATAAACCACGTTTGTACTACGAATTTTACTGCGGCCAACGCCTAATGGAGGTGATTAAGTACGAGACCGGCTTCGCGCAGTTTTATAGTCAACAACCTTCCTATAAGAAATTTACCTGCGTCTTTGATCTCAGTAAGTCAATTCTCATCTTGTGGTGGTGGTTGTTGTTGTTGTTTCAAATCTTTATTCTCACGATTGTTGTTGTTGTTTCAAATCTTTATTCTCACGATAGCCAGTGGCCAATAAGAGATAATAGTGTAAGAAAGGAGAAAGAGTGAGGAAGAATTGGGTGGGCAGGGCCTAGGGGTTAATGACTACTTAAGTGTACGGGCAGGGGTGGTCGCTACACGAGCATACAGAGTTGTGCAACAGCAGGGATATCTGGGATTTGAAGGGAGTACGAGAAGGGATTTCGGGAAGCTGGGCGGGCAAGCAATTAAAGTAATGAAGGGCCTTGTACAGGGGAGAATGGAGACAGCGGTCAGTCCGCGGAGTTGGCAAGTGCCAAGTACGAGAGCGACGTAAATTATACGAAGGTTGCACGTTGCTAGCAGTATGCGGCGAGAGTATATGTGGTGGGGCATAATTATGGCGCAGAGAATGCGCGAAGAGTATATGTAAGTGTGTGTAAAGGGGAAGGTGGAGACATATTCTGGCGGCTTTCCGCTGGAGTCGTTCTAGCCTGTCAAGGGAAGTGTGCGACAACGGTGTGAGAGCATTGCTCGCATATGAGAATATAGGTAGTATGTATGTCTGATAGATGTGAGATAAAGAATCACTGGTGAGTGTAGACCTTAGTCTAAAAAGAATATTGAAAGACTTGAGTGATTTTTTAACTATGTATTCAACATGCTCCGTCCAACGGAGGTCATGCTGAAAGGTTATTCCGAGGTGTTTGTGTTTTTGTGCTACGGTAAGCGGACTATTCCTGAGGGTGATCTGGGGTAGCTGTTCAGGGGGGCGGTTATTGTGGTAGAACGGGAGGATGACTGTTTTCTTTGTGTTAACCAGCAGGTGCCATCTTTGAAGCCAGTCTCCAGCTGCTGTGACACTCTGTTGTAGGTTTCGGGTGCAGTCTTGAAGAGTTCTCGCTATGGAAATCAGAGCGGTGTCGTCTGCAAATTGGCTACAGGTGCTGGCGTACGAGTGTGAACCCTTGGGCTCTGTGCGCGTGCGTGCTGAGCTAGTGGATTGATTTGAGCTCTCGGGCTCCGCGCTGGGGTCCGTGTTTGTACAGCTACTACCTGAACTAGCACTCACAACAGCCTCACTACCTCCTGCATCGGGCGCACTTGTACCCGAGCTCAGTTGTGATCCAGGGAGTGCAGCCGAATTGGTGCTCTGTGTATTTGTGGGTGGTTTGTTCGTGGGCCGCTTGCTCGGACACGATCGAGCAAAGTGCTCCCCCATGCAGATCCTGCAGGTGGCCCTCTGGTTCTCGTGACGGACTGGTGCTGGTGCTGGTCGGCTGTGCGGACAAATGACGGAACTTGCCGACATCCCTCCTTCAGCTCGATGGTGGCGAATCGCATACCTGTCCCTACAGTAATCCCCGACGGGGTTTGAATTTGACCATGGCGGATGTCTCCCTGGATCTGGCCAAATGCAGCCAAAGCACTGCAGATAACGGTATTCTCGATCCAGATCGGGACATCAAAGATATGGAGTTGTAGTTGTTTGGTGAATGCAGGGCGTACAGAGAAATGGCTGTCGCCGATAAAAACCCCGTGCCCCAGCAGTGCGTCAGTCTGCGTAGCAGATAATAACGTTACCTTTGTGAGGTTGGAATTGGTGATCTGGATGGAGGCGACGTCCGTGTACCCTTGGGTAACAAGGGCCTCGGCTACATCCACTGTCTTGATACCGGCGTGACTGGTGAAAACTACGGTGTTGGCCTTCATGTCTTCTCGGGTAAGTGATTTCCATCGTGGCTCACCATTTCGGGCAGCAGTACTAATGTTGCGCTCCATGGTTGGGGTCTGGTACCCCGGGTAAGCCTCAATCCGCAGAAATCTAGGGAAAAACTGGGAGCGCCAAAATCTGCTTCCTACTCCTACTCAACAAGTTGCTGTTGTACTAATGTTGTACTAATGTTGCGCTCCATGGTTGGGGTCTGGTAAGCCTCAATCCGCAGAAATCTAGGGAAAAACTGGGAGCGCCAAAATCTGCTTCCTACTCCTACTCAACAAGTTGCTGTTGTACTAATGTTGTACTAATGTTGCGCTCCATGGTTGGGGTCTGGTAAGCCTCAATCCGCAGAAATCTAGGGAAAAACTGGGAGCGCCAAAATCTGCTTCCTACTCCTACTCAACAAGTTGTTGTTGTTGTTGTTGTTGTTGTTGTTGTTGTTGTTGTTGTTGTTGTTGTTGTTGTTGTTTGAATTCTTTTATTCTCACGATGGCCTGTGGCCAATAAGAGAAAAATAATTACAGGCACGGGGATCAGATACAGAGAGATCAAGGTTTAGCTGCTTGCTGAGGCAGTAGCGATGGCAATACTAATTGGGAGTTAATCACGTAGGCTGGGCGCAATAGAGCTATAAATGTGCTGAGCAATGTGAGCAAGTACATACGGAAGAGATGACAAGTGGTAGGATGTTTGCTTTGAAATCTCGTCTGGGGTTGATTTGCCGGATGCTGGGTGGGATGCTATTAAAGAGATCAAGAGAAGCATAGATGGGGGAGTCTCTTAGCCGGTAGTAGGAATGGACGAGCGGGTTCTGGGCCAGGGGGCGCCCGGGTCCCAAAAAATGGGGTATTATTGAAAAATGGGGTACTAATAGTACCCCATTTTTGCGGTGAAAATTATTTTTGGCCCGGTTTTTTTGCGGATAAAAATATGTGCCAGGGGGTGCCCCTACCTCAAAAAAATGGGGTATTATTGAAAATATGTGTTGTGCACATGTGGGTTTGAATCTTACTTTTTTGGGCCACCTTGCCCCGGATGGGAGTGGGTATAAAAAGTAGAATGTTGAATATGGTGTTTATCATGAAGTTTTTTCCGTGACCTACCCCACCTCCCCATGCAATTTTTCAAAAATGGTCCTGCTCGCACACACGTCAGAAAGGTCAGTTCTTGATAGATACGATACATGTCATTACAAAGAATAATGGAACGAACAGTGAATATCGCAATGGAGTGGAGGAGAAAGGTAGTACAATTCAGTTCTTGTTGTCCTGATTTCATCAAGCTGGTATTGGATGAGAGACCACAAAGTTTACTCTTCGAATACGTGTGAGGATGGATTCACCCATGATCTCTTCCGTGACACGCAGTACGAGGTGGAGTTGTCGGACGCTCTGATGTGCACCAATGGTTCCACCCAGTCAGCAATGGAACTGTCAGTCGACGACCTCCTTTGCACCGCCATCGTGTCAACAGTCGACTCGGGTAATTTGGAGATGAATCCATCGTCGTCGATGTCGATCGTACCAACTCGCACACGAATCCGCGTTACTCTTGTTGCAACGGCACGGAGTTGAACGGCCTTGGTACTACGTCGTACACGCACACGATCAACTCGAGAGACTTCATTTTTCGTTCACCTCCTTGACAAGTTGCATTACGTCGCTGGAATCCAAATAGGTTGCATCAGCGAAGAGGTCGATGATGTGTTGAGAGCACGGTTCGTCACGCATGTCACTAAGCTTGTAGAATGAGTGTCTACCATCAGTCCACCTTCGCAGTATGTCACCATCATCAGTCTCACTAATAGTTCCGTAGTCCTCCACACCACCGATGACGATTTTAGGAAGGTGCTGTTTCCTATTCTTCACATTCAAGATCAGACTGGTGACCCTGCAGATAATATACTCAGCAGCAGTGAGTGGTGACATATCGAATCTTCTGGGATGTGCTATCATCGGGTCAAGATCCCTGGTTGTCTTGCTAGCACTGAGGCGACGGATTGAGAACTCTTCATTATCGCATGAAAATAAATACCATTTCTCTGCTCTGCACGTCTCAGAAAATGTCCACGCCATTTTAGCTTCTTCACACTGCAAGAAGGAGTCGATAATGAAACTGCAGGTTGAGACTACTTCACCTCGAGGTCAAAGTTCACGCCGCGATGACCTTTGTAAACAAGGCTACGTCTAGACGTCTCAAACAAGACCAAGGGGTCACGCCACGGGGAGGTGACGACCTTGGAGAACACGATGTGTTTCGAAAGCGGAAAGACGCCCCCGTCATGGTGAGTCTTTTTTGTTCGGGTTTGGAATCTTTCGACTATGATATCAGATTGAGATGTGAATGCCTTTCTTCTATTGAAATGTCGATGAGACGGAGGATTTTTCTAGCTTTCTGCTCATATAATTCTTACTCTCATAGTACTTGATTTTCATATATTTTCAGGGGTGGAAATACGTAAGGCACACGGACCATGGATGCGCACATCATGGAGTGTGCATTGACGTCACAGTGGATTGTAGGATGCATCATGTACCACACAAACACACACACACACATGCACATAATATACATACACTGTGCAATGACATCACAGCGAACTGCACGATCGGTGGATGCTATACATATACGGAATTCCGTGGTCTCTTCTCATACAGAGATGGTAGAGAGGAATTCAAAAGGAATCTTGGAAAGAGGACTCAACTGTCAATAGAGCGATATTCCCCGCTCGGAGCACGAATATTCCCCGGGTCTTGCGACAGAGTAAATAAGGGAGATGTTAGTGCTGATCACGCTCTATTTGGGATAGTACATGGGATAAATGGATTATACCATTCGTACTCTGTGCATACCGTACCCATTATATTTTCAATCGTGCTGACGCACTCATGAAAATATCTAGCGGTGTACCCCTCGTACCAAGAGTACATGTACTCTTGCTCGTACTCGTGGGATAATCGATACATGTCTTAGTGCTGATCGCGCTCTATTTGGAATAGTACATGGGATAACTGGATTATACCATTCGTACTCTGTACATACCGTATCCCTTATATTTTTCGTCGTGCTAACGCACTCGTGAAAGTGTCCAGCAGTATACCCCTCATACTCATGCGATAATTCTCATGAACGCCATCAGCTTGTACATAGCACTCAATCATTTATTTTTTATTTTTCAATATGAATGACATTGTGAATCATGACCGAAGACTGTTCACATCCTT